AAATAAACATAAACATAAACACATAAACAAACATACATACATACATAGATACATACATACATACCCATCCCTGTTCTAGTCTAACCCTCTGTCAAGGCATGAGCCTTATACCATCCCAGCTAAATGGTTGCCCAATGTATTTTTGCAACCCTCCAGTAACGGAGCACGCGCAAGCTCAGGAGGCAAGCTATTCCATTGATTAATTGTTCTCACTGGCAAAAAATATAAAATTGTCCTTATTTCTATGCGGCAAATTTTCCCAAAGCCAGTGCTCATGCTGAAGCGCGTGTCTTTTGGGAAACCAACTCTCAAATATAAGACGAGTGGAATTTATGGATGGGCTCCGAGCTTGCCTTAACTCCTTCTGTGATTTTATTGCTTTTATGACCTGGAAATGTCAAAGTGTCTGTGTGGCACACACAAACGCCGACACAAACATGTGATAATACTCCCCCCACCCCCAAAGAGGTTGACATTAGCTGTTTTTTCCTCCTGGGTACGTAGAATAGTGGTTTTTGACTTCCACAATTTTATGATGAGAGGACTTCAATTCCCAGAATTCCCCAGCCAGCATGCATTCTGGGAGCAAGCTGGCTGGGGAATTCTGGGAGTTGTAGTCCACTCATCTCAACAACGTTGTTTAGGTTGAGAAACACAGTGATTTAGAGATGGATCAGTCTTGGCTCTATAGGGATAATATGTAAAAACAGAGCTAAGTTTATTGCCTGCACATTTTTCCTCCTTTTTTTTTTAGGAAAAAAAGAAGCTTCTGATATCTGCCTCCCTAATCTGCATTTTTAAGGCTTCTGTGTGTCCATTCCCCCCTTTATTATTATTCTTTTTTTTATTGGGGCATGCACATATTAAGGAAATATAATTTCCCAAATGATGGCTTTGGAATGAGGGCTTTTAAAAGCTAATTCCTAATCATCTTCCAGCTCTATTAATTCAATATATTATTATGAGTTACTCTCATTTGATGTCAATTACAATCAATTTTTCTGGAAGAGGTTGTCTGGTTCACTGGTAGTCGATAAACGCTCCCCCCTCCCTTTTTGGGGGGAGGGAGCTGGATTTTAATTTCTCTTTAATAAAATATTTATAAGCGCAAACAGTTAGCTCCGTTTACGGCATTGATATTTGTGTCTAGGTGAATGGAGCATGTGGAGAGCTTGTGTGCTGCAAATGCCAATATTTGCTCTTTGGAAAAAGAAGAGTAAACAGATTATATCGTTTATTGCATCTCTGGTGCTGGTGTATTTCGGTCCCTTCGCTCTTGGAAATAGATTTCCTCCCTCTAATGGAGGCCACTCTTCAGAAAAGTCTCCTGTGACTCCTTTTAACGATGCCCTGTTTGCAGCTATTCCCTCCCACAAATTTTCCAGTGTCTGCACTAAACTCTAGATAGCATCTATAACACCCCATTCTTCTATTTTCCCTATAATAACAACAACCCAGCTTCATCTCTAGGTGGCTGGGCTGAGCGAGAGGGATTGGGCCAAAGTTACCCAGTAGCTTTCAAGCCTAAGGCAGGACTAGATTGGCCCAAAATCATCCAATGACTTTCATGTCTAAGGCTGGACTAGAACTCACCGTCTCCTGCTGATTGGCCCAAAGTTACCCAGCAGCTTTCAAGCCTAAAGCAGAACTAGAACTCACCATCACCTGGTGATTGGCCCAAAATCATCCAATGACTTTCATGTCTAAGGCTGGACTAGAACTCACCGTCTCCTGCTGATTGGCCCAAAGTTACCCAGCAGCTTTCAAGCCTAATGCGGGACTAGAACTCATCCTCTTCTGGTGCATCGAACCGGCAGTAATGGCAGCAAAAACCCACCCCAGCTGCGTGGCCTTCCAGCTTCAGCGTACCTTGGAGGAAGCTAGCTATCTTGACCCCTTCCAGTCCGGCTTCAAG